TTTTTTCGTTTGGTTTCACTCTACGTTTTCAAAACATGAATGATGGTGGTCATGGACGGTCCAGTATCCGGCATCGGAAACAATATATATATATATATATATATATATATATATATATATATCGGCATTACATAGAAAAACAACGAACGAAACGAAAGAATTGTCAGGACAAAAGAAAAAAGGGAAGCCTAATGTACCTCTAGGTTTATTTACGAGAACGATAACTGCAGCGTCTACAAAGTGTCGCAAAATAAAAAGAAAATGCGTTGCAAGAAAGAATACGACAAAGAAAAGCCAAACACGACCGCTTCATAACAGAACTGGCCTGCACACAGGAGAACTAAGTTCCCCTTCGATGAGACGAGATACACTGTATCACTTGTTCTGTATCGGTTCAGAGCAGGTTTTTACCGTTTTCCGCGGTAATTATTGTATCAATTACGCCCATAAAATCGCTACGCAACGCAAAAAACAAAATTGGCGAGCGCGCAAGTCGCAGTCGTAACCATTTACGCACAGGCGTGAATAGTTTTTCATTTCGATTGTATTTGCTTCGCCGACTGCAGCAACGAAAAGTGTAGTTAAAAAAAGGTAAAATAGAGAAAGAAAAGGAACAGTAACACCTTCAAAATAGTCTCTCGCAGAGAAAAAAACGATATATATGCGAAAGAGCCGGAAGAAGGAACAAAAATATCATATATCATATATATATATATAGATAGATAGACAGAGAGACAAAGAAAAAAAAAATTGATTAAATATAGGAAGAAAATTCATGGCACAACTCGAGACGAGCTAAGGGATACTCACTTTTTGGATCTGCGCCCCAAAAGTCGCCAAAAAAGTGGGAAAAAAATCTCGTAAAAATTCGTGTCAAATTCTCACGTATATTGAGTAGAATTATTAAATATTTAATATATTTAGGCATATCAGTGGGTAGCATACTACTGATTATTATCAACGTCAACATGGCCTCTTTTACAGCTATTCTTTTTTTTTTTTTTTGCTCTGATTAGGGGTAGAGAGACAGAGTGAGAGACAGAGTGAGAGACAGAGTGAGAGAGAGAGAGAGAAAGAGAGAGAAGGTGTGAAATTTTTGTCTGTTTCTCTTGTGAAACACGCACACGCGCACCCGCTCGTCCATTCGTTCGTTCGTACTCTCCCTCCCAGGCGCTCGATTCCAATCGCACCCTCTGCTCTATTCGTAATATTTTTTATCGCTCTGCCGAGCAACGTCGATGGACGAAATTCTCTTTTCGAATCGATCGTTAAATAGAAAAATATCGCTTGGTCCTCGGTTGCAGTTGGTCGCAGAGAGGCGGGAGATGTGAGAATATCTTTTTTTTTTTTTTTTTTTTTTTTTTTTTTTCTTGTCTTTTTGGCATGCGCAATCACTACTCCAAATATGAAATAACTAAAGGCTCATGTCCACCTGCCCCCTGCCGTCGAGAGAAAGACGATTCTTTTCTTCTTCTTCCCGCGATTCGAAGCGTCCTCCTTTCGTCGAAAGATGCGAAGAAAATTCGATTCAGCAGCTTCGACCACGCGCGGGGAAAGTCGCGCGGATGGAAAGAAAGACAGACAAGTGAAGAGAACTGACAAATGGGGTTGTTGGGGGTCGGAGGAGAAACAAGTGAGGAGAAAGAAAGACGCGAGAGTTTGGCGCGTTTCCCGTACTTTCCCTCGCGGCACGAGGCATCGAGAGAGGGAAGACCTATGATAAAAATGTCTACTAAAAAAGAAAGCTAGGAGAGGAGAAAAAAACCATAAGTAAGAAGAAGTGGTTGGTATCGTGTTATGGTTTTCGGGGGACGTATAAACGCGCTACCCGCTTGTGAATCCAAAGTTATGAGAATAGAGATACAGATAGAGATATATATATATAGAGAGAGAGGGGGGAGGGGGAGGGAGGAGAGAGAGAGAGTAGATGCGCGCGACTTGCCTCGACGGAAAAAATTCACGGTTACTTGTTGAAATAGATAAGGATACGAGAGAAGTCGGTAAAAGGTGGAATTGTTTTCGAGGAGAAATTCTTTTGTTTGTTCTCGCAACTCGCAAAAAAGTCACCCGCAAAAAACGTTAGCTCGATAAAAAATCTGTATCGGTGTACATGGGGCTAGTAGATCTTTCCTTTCGAGAGAGAGAAAGAGAAGGAGAGACGGTCAGTTTGCTTTTACTCGCTTCGAGGAGAACGGTAAAAAGGAAAAAAAAAAAAGAAAGAAAGAAAGAAAAAAGAAATATTTCCGTTCCTCTTCTCTGTTCGCTCTTTGTTCATCGTTTTATTGGCAGCATCCACCTGCGCATTCACCCATGCAAAAATCGCAAAATTCCTCGCAAAATATGTACGATAATTACCGATGGCCGTGAAATGAAACGCGTCGTTCTTTTCTTTTTTTTTCCATTTTTTTTCTGTTTTCAGACCGACTGTGAGACCGGGGATGCACGCAACGCGCAGCTAATCGGATCGACGATTATTCCTCTCGGTTATTGGTTTTCGGCGCACGACGGACGAATCGAAGGGAAGCAAAAGGGGAGGAGGAAGCATGCGTTCGTCCGAGGGAAATGAGGAATCGATCTTGACATGTCGGACTTGAAGAACAGCGTTCGTTGATCGGTAACGGCGTGTCTTCGAAACTCCGGGCGTCTTCAAAACAGTCAGATTGAAAGAGAACAAACCGGACTCGGACCGCGAGTCGTTGCAGATTCAGAGATGGAAATGATGAGAGAGAAAGAGAGACAGAGAGAGAGAGAGAGATAGAGAGAGAGAGAGAGAAAGAAAGAGAGAAAGAAACACACATAAAACGGAGCAAAATGTCAAAACTCTTTCTATGTTACCTAGAGGAGAAGACGTAAAGGTATATATCGACACACGATATAAAGATATAGTAATACGTAATCATATATAATATATATATATAAAGAACATATTATACGTACGAGTAAAATACGTAATTCAATATTAAAGATACGATATAATAGTTATTAACTTACAGAGAGGCAGAAGATGGAAAAAAGTAGGTCGGTGAATAGCATGCAAAGAACGAAGGTGCACGTATAGACAGTAGAGAGTATAGAGAAAAGGTCATGGTGTAATGATTATGTATATCATTCCAACGAGCTTCGGTGAGTGTAAGAAATTTTCTGCGATATAGTATCCGCGGATATCAACGATCCATCGATGTTCATCTCGAACAGACAGAGAGTCTTCAGGGCGGTTTACCGACCTTCTAACCCTCCACCCACCCACCCACCCACCCACTCCCCCTTTCTGTTGGAGGGAGCTTTGCTTTTTCAATATCAGCAGATACCGCGTGTACGTCGACGAGACCTCTCTCTCCGTCGAGATCGATGCATCTCTGTACTTCTTGACGACCGGCGGCCTCAGGTGGCCTCGTCAACTGAATCGACGAAGATAATGAAAAAAAAATTGCATGAATATTGGTATTCAAATGTTTCAAAGTGAACGGTCCTCCCGCGGTAATAATCCTCTTCTCTCGCGTCACGGATTTTTTTTCCCCTCTTTTCTTCGTTTTTCTTTCCTTTTTTCCTTCTTTTTTTTTCTTTTTCGCTCGCGTTGCTAATATCATCCCCCCCGTGAATATATTCTCGCGCTTGCGATCGGAAGTTGACTCTCACGGACGTCGCCTCTCCGAATTCTCCGCTGTTTTTTTCGTTTTCTCTTCCCTAGCACGACGATCTTTCTCCTCGTGCTCCCGCACGCGACCTCTGACCGCGTTGTACGGGTTGAACTCTTGCATCCTGTACTCTTTTACGCACTCGTTCACGCATTCACGCGCGCACGCCGACCCGACGTGAAGCACTCGATAGCCGCGTTCTCGCACGCGTCGACGATCGTCGACGATTCTTTCAGGCTGGTCTCGAGACGTTCCTGGTCTCTCAGACTTTCGACGAAGAAAAAGACAGGTCTTTCCATAGACGACGGAAATCGAGGCTCACGTGGGGAAGGCGCCGCTAATCAGACTGCACGACACACGTCGGTGGGGGTGCTTGTTAAATTCAGTGGGTGCTCTCAGTGCTGGTGCTCGGCACGATATATCGCAATCGACGTGCGAGACAATTGAATATTTAGACACGTGAATATAGCGATGATACGGTGCGCTGCGAAATACGGTGCTGGTTTTTCTTTCTTTTTCTTTTTTTTTTTTTTTAAATACGGCGTAGGTTCAGCGAACGTAACTATACGTATGTATATAGATCGGGTGCGCATTACAGTCGCTTGCGCGCGTTCACGCACGAGTCTTACTGTTTCCCGAGCACTTGACGTAGATACGCGCGTACACACACTCACCCACGCACACACGTCCCTACGTACTTACATGCGTGCATGCGCGCACGCGTGTGCTTTTTAGGCTGCCGGCGGTTACTCGAAGCGAAGGGTGCTTTTTTAAATTGGTGCATGGTGAGAATATACACGTGTGTGTTCATATATAAAATATATATATATATATATATACTCAGCTATAGTAGGACACGGGTGTGAAAGGCGTGCGTCTGCGTGTGGCTTTTGTGCGTAGGTGCGTAGATACGCGTTCGTCACTGTACTCCACCCTCTTTTTACTTTTTGCTTTGTCCTTTTTATTCTTTTCCTTCTATCCTTTTTGTCGTGCGTGACACGCGCGTGCGACTTTACATGCGTGCGTGGTGGGTGCGAGATAAAACCGTGCCCGCATGAAAAATAGTACTTGTACCGGTGCCCGTGCACACACTCAAAACGACGGTAATGGAAAATATATATATATAAATATGTGTGTATATATAATATACATAAGATATATATATATATACATACATACATATATATATATATATATATATATCGATAGTAAGTTTAGAATATAATATAATCATAGAATATATTGGTTAGTGGCGGTTACTAGCGGCGACAATGACAATAACGAACGAGAATACGTATATACGACGGTGAACTTTTGTGCTTGATAATGTGCGAGCTTACACGGCAGGGTGCTTTCAGCAGTGCTTTTTATCGTTCCGCCTCGCTTTGCCGAGTCTGCTCTGTTAGTGGAGGGTGGACTGGTTGGATCGGGTCGGGTCCGTAAACGGGACAATGCGTGGGAGGAACCGGGAGTATGAGGTGCCGGTGAAACGAAAGAGGATCCTGGGCGTTCCGTAGTGTCGAGTGCAAAAGGTTCGAGGGAACGTCGTTAGAGATGCGTTCGTACGATTTTTTCTCCTTTTTCTTTTTTTCACTCGCGACAATGACGGCGGCTCTACAATGCTCGCTCTCTCGCAACAAATGACTCCGATTTCGCGTCCGACCAAGGTCTTCGATTATTTTTTTTCCATCCAAGACAAAAGCTGCTGCCAAGCACTCCTCGCTACGATGCGTGTGTACGTATCCTACTTTTCTCGTAATTTCGTAACTCTAAACGAGAGAGAGAGAGAGAGAGAGAGAGAGAGAGAGAGAGAGAGAGAGAGAAAGAGAAAAAATAAATACACCGAATCACGAAAGTTATTCATTCGTATCATTCTCCTGCAATTGTGCCGTGTCGGCTAGTTATCGAGAAAAATTTTGTCACTTGTGTCGCGAGACCATACCGATCGTTCAAAATCAACAATCAGAAAGGTATCAATATTTCGGTGACTTTATGTACTCGTACTTCACACGAAATTTTCAGTACGATTAATAATACCGTATCGCTGCCAGGCAATGTCGTTCCCTCGCCTTTTCGTTGGCTTTTCTTCTCGTCGATTCGGAAGATTAATCGGGGTGTAGGGACGGGCGCAGAAGGACTGGAAAAGAGTGGGTTGAAAAACTCGTTGTATCATGCAGGCAGGGACGGTGCCGTGCCGTTAGTGGATGCGGCGTGGCACCGAATGGGAAAACGGAGAGGAGAGATTCGAAACGAAAAGCAAAACTTCTTCATGCATCGTCATGCCATTCATTGGGACCATTTTTTGGTTGATTCGGTTGTTGGAACCATTACGGTGGTGGTTCGAGACCGAGAGTTTTGCGCAGACTCGACAGCAGCTCGACGGGGTTTCCTTTGGAACGGTGAGACGGGAGAGAGTCTGTTTTCTGAGTCGGATACTGAGAGGGATCGTATTCGTAGTCGAGGAGGTTATATATATTTCGTGATTCGAGATTCGGGATGAGAATCATTAGGTAAGAGACCGAGGGATCGATAAACAAACGAAGGCATGCTCTAAACATGTGCAAACGATAGGTAGAACTAAATTTTTAACTAAAGACAGAAGAGCCTTATATATCAGAGATATAGAAATATATTATATATGTATATATACATATATATATGACGTGTAAAATATTTATATTTATATATATACATATATATATGCATATGTAGGTATGTAGTGGAATAATAGTATGTATATATATTTTTGCTGTGTGTGATACATACGCCATGGTTTGTATATATATATATATATATGGTATGACATATACAATACATATATATATCTACACATAAGCGTTTCATCAGACAAGCTGCCGCCCTCGTTCACGGACATTATCTCCGTCCGATAAATAAATGCTTTCTCTCGTTTCTTTTTTTTTTCTTTTTCTTTTTTTTTTAGAATCAGACTCAATCAGGGACGATATACAAAATTTTCTCCTCGGAACGGTAGAAATAATGTCACGTTCACGATTGGGGTGGGTCGGTCAGTTTGGTCTCTATCTTCGTAAACACGTGGCAAGAGTGAGTCAACGAACTAAAAGAGAGAAACGAAACATCTTTACGTGACGTAATAATCACGGTTACCATGAGAAAGAACATTGAGTGTTAATGAGTACATATCATTAGACAATCGGTAAATAATGTTTACGTTAGTGCGAATAAGTCTTAAAAACTAGCTGTTCAAAACCTGGATCATCCTCCTGCAAATGCTTTAAGGAAAGACAAAAACACGTGAATGAGTATACATAATTAAGTTAATCAGTTAAGTTAGCGTGTTAAAATGGGTAAATCCAAGTTTTAAGAGATAGGGGGTCGGGGGGCTCAGAGGGGGAACAAAAACCAACGGCAACGTTCAAAGGGAGAAGTTGCGATTAGGCCCTGTAAAAATAGTAAAGAAATCGGTTTTTTTTCTCTTTTTTTTTCTTTTTTTTTTTTTTTTTTGCAATAGCTGAGCTCAAAAATTGGTTATCAGCTTCTGAAAAATCCGTGGCTGCGTTGCACCACCTGGAAAAAATGTCTGGGGGCACTCCAGTAGGGGGGGGGGGGGAAGTTTGGGGGCGAATTTTTTTTTTTTTTCTCTGGGGGAGGGGGGGGGGAAGCATAGAGTAATTCATGGAAGATCGCAAAAATTCCAAAAATATAAAATCTCGCCAGCCAAAAAATTAGGGCCAACATGGTCTCGCGTTTCGCTATGTAAGTTAAGCGCCCGCGTCCCGTCCAAAAAGGAGAAGCAAAAACCAAAGGGAGAGAAAAAAAAACGCACACGCACACACATACACACAGATGTGTCCGAGGGGGGAAAGATCTTGAAGGTGTGCGAGAAAAGCGTTAGGGGAGGGTTGTTTGATGGATCGTTCAGCAGTTTTTAATAATAAAGGATGAAACACCGGTTTTGGGAAAGAATTTGAACGTGCGCGTTCAAAAAACTTACGTTCGCGCAACGAAAAAAATCGAATTTCGGTTTTTTTTCTCTTTTTTTTTTTTTTATACTTGAGAATAGAAAAAAAGGGCCGCGCGCTCGTCCTGGTATCTTCTCTGTTGCCGCGACAAGAGTCGGTTGACAGTTCGTTTCTCGAAAGCGTTAACTGAAACGCAAAAGTTGCCTGAGAGGAGAAGCTTTACGTATTATATAATACAATATGATATAATATAATATAATAGAATAGAATAGAATGTAATATAAAATAACATGATACGATATATAATATAATGTATATTAATAATGTAATAGAACGTAATGAATACAATGTAACGTAATTCGATGAAGTCGAACGAAACGAAAGTACAACGACAATGTAATCTAGAAACGGAAAACGCAGGAGTGAAGAAAGAACGTTTGTCGAACAAGGAAACAGAACTAAAATCAGAGTGAAGACAGAGAGAAAGAGAGAGAGAGAGAGAAAGAGAAAAAGAGAATCGTCGAGAGAGAAGGTGGGATCGGTTGTTACAGTGTCACAGTTGGGAAGAGATAGGTTCGAAGAGACGTTTAGCGGAATCTGAAATCGAAAATACACTGTTTTAATACACAGAGATATACAATTGTATACAGACAGTCGACGAGACAGACCGAAACGTCACCGGGTCGAGAATCAGGGCGTGTCATCGCAACCGGCACTGGAATCACGCGTACCGAGATCTTCGGACTGATTTTTGGCGGGCTTTTATATTTTTGGCTCTTGCGCGATGAACTTTGTCGCGATACATCGCCTTCGCAAAAGTATCTCTATATAGGCGTGAAGCGTGGCGCTTTGAAACCGTCGCGAGGGAACGATCTTTTCTTCTTTTGATCAGAAACATTGAGAGAGAAAGAGAGAGAGAGAGAAATGCAACTCGTTCCAATCGAAATAGAATCGAGAGAGTAAAAAGACGTATCGCTGAGAGGTGTTCAAGGCGCCACATCCTACGCGTGTTCGAGTAAACGTAAAAAGACGACTAAGCGTTAATGATACATACCGTCCTCGTGAGTTCTGACCGAGATAGGATAACTCGGAGGTCCGTCACCTACGCTGGTCCCGGCCAATACCCAAATCCGGTACTCGGTCCATTTTTTCAGTTCGTCCAACACGAATCGCGTGTCATTCAGTTTGATAACTTTCGCCTCCGAGTCGGAGCGTCCGCTCTCGACCACTTGCAGCTTGTAGTACGCGATCCTCCCGTTCGATCGATCGGCAGGCGGTGGTTCCCATGTTACCAATATGGAGGTCGGGCTGATCGCTTCTCCGCTTACATTGCGAGGCGGAGCCCCGGGGACTGTATAACACTCAGTTATAGGGGAGGAAGAGGGGGAGAAAAAACAAGAAACAAAAAGAAAAAAGAGAGAGAAACAAAAAGAGAAGAGAAAGACACACGGGGTAGGAAAATATCGTCGATCGCTGGTCGTCGGAAGATCGGGATCGACCGCAAGGGTCGCGATCGGGTCCGCGAGTCGGAAATGGTCGCGAGTATCCGTTGGCAGGTTCATTGAAATTCGAGCTACGGGTTAATTCGATTTGTCAGCTTTTACGGCAGGAGTGCGCGCCGTACGCGATCGATCGCGTGGTTAATTATAAAAAACGGGGGAAAAAAAAAAAAAAGAAAGGCAGAGAACGAATACGCGCGGTATTCCGGTCTCGACTCGTTGGACTCGATCGACGTCGAAATCGAGCCACGGTTCGAATCCGACCGACGCCGACGATGCGGGGATCCGAAACGAAAGAGAGAGAGATAGAGAGAGAGAGAAAGAGAGAGAGAGAGAGAAAAAAAGAGTTTTACGTGACGATTGGTCAAGGTTCAGAGAGGCTCAGTTATATCACTCAAGGAAAAACTCATGAGTCGATCCTTGAACAGTCGAAAAATATTGTGATTAGAGAAAACAAAGAATTTCGTGCGGCACGAGCGATCAACTCGACGCGACGTCGAGTGTAACGCGTCGTGCCTCCGCCCGCTCTTGACTTGACAAAGAAACGAGAGACAATCGAAAAAATGAAAAAAAAAAAAAAAAAAAAAAAAAAAAAAAAAAAAAAAAGGTAAACTCATAAAATATTCAGCTACGATATTAAACATTGAACAACTAGCAACGTCGTTCGTTTCTGATCAGAACTTTGAGCTTTTGAATAAAGTTTCCAAAGAAATAATGACTTTCTCGAGTAAAGAAATATTTTATTTATGGTAGGTATTACCATCTTAAAGCGTTGACACAGCAATTTACCATATTTAGAATTGAAGTATGTATATTTCATATATTATTATATATAATATTATTTTATATATATAAAAAATATATATAATATATATTTAAATAAATATTTATATGTAATATTTAATTATAATTATATTTTTAATATTTATATATTTAATAAATATATATATTAATATATATATAAAATAATATTATATATAATAATATATGAGACATAACAAACATGTGTTACATGTGTTACTTGTTATACAAGTGAAAATATATCTCCTAAACCAAAGATTTTTCGGCACAGACAAGTTTTCAACACTTTTAAATCGATTACTGCATTCAAAATTATATGATTCCATATAAAAGAAATCAACCTAACTTTGAAATCCTACCACTTCATCCATGAAAATAACATTAATATGTCCTTCTTTATATCAAACAACTTTTGTAAGAATATTTTTTTATAATTTCAATCTCTTACAACATATTTCCATTCTGCGAGATACAGAATTTATTTCATCTACAAGACAAAGACTGTTGTCAAATTTTGACACAATGAGTGGAAATGTAAAGTTCAAATTAAAGATTATAGTTTTCAACATACGTACATATAATACGTATATTAAAGATACACGTGTACAGGTTTAATTAATATAACTTTAATTACACAAATACACAGTCCCATGTACAAATAAATAATCACGTGTGCATTAATATCTCCAAGTTACTCGATAAATTATTCAAGTATATTTATCCGTGATACTCTACATACAAAGATTTAGATCATGAAACGTTCAATGTCAAACAAATGATAAAATATTGATTTGATTACAATCACAATCTCTTGTAAATACATATAGACAAAAAAAATCTCAATTAAGTTAAAATCGTTGACATTCATCAATGTTGTAGCCTTAATTGAGAATCGTGACAGAAAATAAGAAATTAGTAATACGTAACACATGTAGATGCTGCATTCATAATGTTTAAATAAATCTCCATCAGGCAATTAAAATGTAACGAAGTAGCCACTGCATTTAAGGCAACCAAGCTTGAAAATTTAAAACACCAGAGAGTACCTCAGGGAGGCAGTGAAACCTTGACATCACGTCGTAAAATACTATATCCTATACTATAAAAATTCATAACATATCATGCCATAAATTTGTATAAATTTGCTTTGTTTTTACCGTGCTATAAAAATTCGTACATTGTACTGTACGAGAATTTATACATTCATGAGTAGATAAACATACACGTAGATAAATGTCGCAGCTATCGGTATTATTCCAAATTCTTACATTTATTTCTCAATCTAGACAAATAAGAAAACAACAGATTTCATAAGTGTATTGCAAAAATAGAATAACGTATAAGTAGAATATTTCAATCAGTATTGAAATCTCGTAACTAAATGCAACGACAGCCAATTTCCTATTCAGGCAAGGCCCTCCACGAGAAGCGATAAGCAGCTGTATGACGAGGAAGGACGAGCGTAAACTGACATATTAGACCAGCCAGTGTAAATATCCATCTATAAATCATTCTTTTCTGGTCAAAAATATGCAGGACAACCGACGACCGCCGGATCACGCCACGGTCGTCGAATAATATTAAACTCACAAATACAGCTCGTTGCACGGTGTGTGTACGTGTGTATAAGTGTCGAGAAATGGCCGGCGAAGTGAAACTCGCGTAAGAAATAATAAAAGCGAGGCAGTATTTCCGGGCAGCGCTCGAGAGGGGCGGAAAGTTAGACAAAAGGTGGTGGGCGGGCAGGCAGACAGACAGACAGGGTGGTAGATACGATAGCCGGGAGAAAGTGAAGAAGAAACCCGGTAAGAAGAAAGGACACGGTTGAGAGGAAAAACGCGGACGAGAAGGCAGAGAGAATGGATGCTGTGGGGTAATACTGGCCAAGTCGACCGGTTTTAACCCCTTGCGCTGGCAACTGGTTCGCGGACCATAACGAGTGACCGTATAGAATAACTCGTCGCTCTCTTTTTCATTTGAATTCGTCGGTACGATGTCACTGGACAGAAATTATTAAGAAGTAATCGACTTATCATTTGTTTCGCCTGGGTTACATTTAAATATACTTGAGACTGAGAAAATGCAATTGCAACTTGGGACAAAAAATTCTCGATGTGCGTAACATGTCATTTCAACGCAATAGATTAACCACTTGCGCTGGCAACTGATTCGCGGACCATAACGAGTGACCAAACCGTATGCAATAACTCGTCGCTTACTTTTTCTTTTGAACTCATCGGTACGATATCACTGGATAGAAATTATTAAGAAGTAATCGACTTATCATTTGTTTCGCCTGGGTTACATTTAAATATACTTGAGACTGAGAAGATGCAATTGCAATTTGGGACAAAAAATTCTCGACGTGCGTGGCGCGTCATTCCAGCGCAAGGGGATAACTCAAATTGGAATTGCCGGTGGAATTTAACATGGCTGGTGGTACTGGTGGCTGAAGCCCTGTGTACTAATCTGCGTAAGCAGACACTCCGAAGGAAGTGACACGAGTATAATCTGTGCGCCGGCATCCACCGGCGTGAACACCCCCCATAGAACAGAACGTGCAGACTCCCGTGTAAACGTATCTCTGACGTGGTGTCTTCCTTTCGGTAACGGGGTCGAATGCGAATGTTTTTGGAACACCTGCTGCCTCTAGATAGGACGGAGCGTGTATTCAAAAAGTAGGAGAAAGAGGTAAGATAAGGAACACAGAGAAAGGGAGAGAGAGGGGGGGTATATGATAACGCAAAGAGAACAAGGGATTACAGTAAGCAACGGAATGGTTTAATAAAAATACCGAAATAGATAGAGCCACCCGACCGAATTACCTCGCCAAGTAAAACCCAGTGCAAAAAAGATTAGTCAGATAGTAGCGGTGCGCAGAGATCCCTAGAGAGGAAACGGATATTTAATAAAACTGTTTAACGGCGTAATACAAAGAGATAGGAATATCTCAGGGAGATTAGCATAACTGTGTAACTGTAAATTCAATCGTGAAGATAATGTGCCTAAACGTTCGGAGAAAATGGAATTAGTGACAACATGTATGCAGGAAATATAATTGACAGTCTATATCGTGTAACTTATATACACTATTGAAAGCTTTACTATTGTATTCCGCCAATACCAGAGAAATATCAAATAATTTGTTTACAACGATTATTGTCCATCAAATTTTCAAATAATCGTAATTAATAGTAATCTTTATGTCTATGTAAACGAAATTTTGATTGTAAAATATTCCAAATAAGAACTGAATGGAGATGATCGTTTCTGTACGTGTAAGAATCAAATTACATATGTACGCTCTTTCGAGTAGAATCGCATAATATTTAATATGTAATTTAAAAAATCATTACTTGGCAGATATTCCAATTTTTATTTTGTAAAACCTATAACATGCAAGATAAACAAAGACGCGAAATCCTTGCCCTTCTCTTGCATTGATAAGTAAATTAAAATTAAACTAACTACCAAATTATCGGATAACACTTTACGAAATAAATAGGTTTATATTTCTTTAAAAAAAGTGCCTCACTTTACAAAAAAACGACTAATTACATCAACTTCCCTCCACAACTGAACAAATTTCGTTTTTGAAACATTTTTTGATGCAACCAACAACTCTTATTTTCAAAATAATATACAAATGAATGTGTATATGAATCACCGCAAGATTAAAACACAAAAATAAAGTAAATACTATTAACTCTGGATAGAGAAACAAAAAAAGAAAAAAAACGCAAGGAAGAAAAGACTTAAAAAAAAAAAAAGAGGAAAAGACGAAAAAGAAGAACAACGATAAGAGTCGAGAAGAAATCGAGAAGAGGATCAGAATGGAGAGGAGGTAGGAAAAGCGGAGCCTAGTAATTCGGACTGAAGCGACCATCTACTTTGAATCCACTACCCGAAACCGGGCCACTATCTACGGGGAACCATTCTCGTGCTTCTTCGTCCTTTCATCACGATATGCCACTGGCACATCTCCGTCCTCGTCGACGTCGTCGTCTTCTCAAGTACCCCGGGTCCCATGAGAAGCCCCCGGAAATTGGAATCTTAAATCGATCTAAATCTTCTTTATCGCCGAAGGAGTCAGCGGCCGATCACAGACGAATTTCCAACGATTTCAGGATCGGCTATATCGTCCACTGCTGTTCGACGTGTAAATTTAACGCCGATTGCCTCCCACCGATTTTTTATTAATCTCTTGCGCTGGAATGACGTGTCACGCACGTCGAGAACTTTTTGTCCCAAAATTGTAATATTTTCTCAGTTTTAAGTATATTTAAGTAAAACAAAAATGGGCA